TTTTTTTTAATTAATAAGGGTATTTTGGTCTTTTTCGAGTGCGATATAATGAATTAGGGTGCGGTAAATAGGAATTCAGTACTACTAATCATGATTTTGTCAGTCTATAATCCTGTTTTTTCATCGATGTTATTGCTGAATGCGTAAATAATAGTTATAAATAATTTATATATGTTGAAAAAGGTTGATTGATGGTAAATTCATTTTTTTAAAACTAAAATAAATGAGTCAAATGTTTGACTTACTAATTGTGCAACATGTTAAAAATTCGGATTTTTGTTTAGTTTTCACTATTTGTTAGATTTTTTCTTTTTCTTTTTTTTTTTTATTTCTTTTGGATAACTGTGCATATTGAATGCATAAATCATGGAATTAAAATCTCTTTAGCTGAGAATCTGTTCACGCATTCTATGTAAATTAATCAATTATGATGGAATGTTAGTAATATTTGTTAAGTGTAATCTGCCATACTTTGAGAAAAAAATATAATATTGCAATTAATATTTACGTACATTTTAATATAAATTTCAAGTAATCTTTCTAATATATAGATATGACAATTAATATTTACGTACAAAAATGATAATTCATAAAAAATTACTACAATATGTTATAGTTTTCATCTTTGGCATTTAAAATGAAACTTATCCAACATTTAGGAAAGAAATTCAAATATCGCGTGCAACTTTTCAAAATTTGAATGCACCGACTTTTTTAGATTCTTATGTTTTTTTCTTAACCATATTTTACCAGGATTTTTGTAAGTTCATATCAATATTTTTTTGTTAAGTTCATATCAATTTTTTAGAAAAAAAAAAAGTTGAAGAAATCTTAACAAAATATTTCAATCTTTTATTAGAATTAGTTTCAATTCAATTTATGTGGTAAAAAAATCTCTTTAATGTTAGGAAAATTCAGTTGTATTTTTAGAAAAAAAATGATGATTCTTTTCACTTTGTTTTAACTAGACATTCAGATCAATTTGTTTGGTAAAAAAAATAATGTATTGTTAGGAAAATTCAGTTTCATTTTTAGAAAAAACTAATGATTCTTTTCAATTTTACCTAATCAAATTTTGAATAATAATTAAAAAGAAATGGCGTGGAAAACCCTAAAAATCTCTACTTTCTTTCTACTATAATTTTGTTTAATAAATAAGATCCCTTATTTTTTAAGAAAAAATATAATTTTTTAATTAATAACTAATAATACATAATTTTAGATAAAATTCGTGCACCCATGTTTACGTTCTAAACAGTCAAATTAAGAATGTTGTACATATGAAAGTTTTCAATGATATATAAATTTTATTTTTAAGATATTTTTACTATCTGAAAACAATTTAAATATAAAAATATATTTTAAAAATAAAGTATGTAATAAATGATTTCGTGAATCGAGTACTAGTTAAACAACATGCCAAAAATAAATAAATAAATATTGTATCGTATTTGGCGAGTTTGGCGCCATCCCATCCGATTGGATTGCATCGTGTTTCTTCCCCGCCT